CGTTTACGTATCTGGGATTTCCCTCTTCCACACACATATGTCTATATAAATGTGTACGTTTACGTATCTGGAATTTCCCTCTTCCACACGTATGTCTATATAAATGTGGACGTTTACGTATCTGGGATTTCCCTCTTCCACACGTATGTCTATATAAATGTGTACGTTTACGTATCTGGGATTTCCCTCTTCCACACGTATTTCTATATAAATGTGTACGTTTACGTATCTGGAATTTCCCTCTTCCACACGTATTTCTATATAAATGTGTATGTTTACGTATCTGGGATTTCTCTCTTCCACACGTATGTCTATATAAATGTGTACGTTTACGTATGCGAAATTTCCTTTCCTACACGCATGTCTATATAAATTTGTACGCTTGCATATGCATGCTCTGCTGTTCTAACACTAGAAACCAGGTTTAGATACCCGTGGTTGGCACAGCACAGATAGCCATTGTATAGCTTTGCTCTTAACAACAGACAAACAAGACGTATAAATCTATACGTTTAAGTACATGCGATTTGCTCTTAACAACAGACAAACAAGTACGTGCGATTTTTTCTTCTACACACATAACTTTCCAAATACAGAATACAAGTTTTTCTGATGTGCTCGTAGTGTTTGTTTTCCAGTTTTTGAGTCCTCCAGTTAGTGTGGAAGTGTTATCAGTCCTCCAGTTAATGTAAAAGAGTTTTGAGTCCTCCAGTTAGTGTGGAAATGTTTTGAGTCCTTCAGTTAGTGTGGAAGTGTCTTGAGTCCTCCAGTTAATGTGAAAGTGTTTTGAGTCATCCAGTTAACGTGAAAATGTTTTGAGTCCTCCAGTTAGTGTGGAAGTGTTTTATTTCCATATTCTGCAAATACACACTGCGAAAAAAAGCACTAATTTATCACATCGCTGTGGCATGACGTCATTATGGGCAGGCTGACCTGAGGCTTTAACCCTATGATACAAAGATAAATCCAATAACACTGAAGAAGCGGAAGTACACTGATTTTGTTGTGCAGTGTATTTCCGTATATTTACAAATGTATATATATATATATATATGTGTGTGTGTGTGTATTATTTTGAGTATTTTAGCGGTATAATTGGATAAATATTTAGCATACGTCATAATTAATCTCTGCTGTAATACAATAATTTTTGAACTTTGTTTATGTATTTCTGCAAATAAAGTTATTTCGTTATATTTGTTACATATAAGCTCATTTCTGGTAATCATAGTTTTAGATAATTTTTTTCAATTTCCTGACTTTTTTTTCATAAACACAAAACATCTACCAATATGTTCCGAAATCTTATTTGATGTTTGGTATTTTCAAGCTGAACAGCATTTAATACGACATGTGGACTAACTGACACTAATTTAGACCTGCTGAATAGATGGATGGCAACAAATTAGAAGCATACGTCGCCAACTCTTATTTGAAAAATGTGGTATTGATCGTCACCTGTTACAGAGCGTGTTCGTTGCATATCAAGGCTCGAACCATAGACCTTCTGATCCGATCTCACGCTAAAGAGACATAGAATGGTGTGTAACAGTAAACTATAAAAAATCACCAGTAAATTGTCAATACAAATCATAAATCAAAGTTGTTGTTTTTTTAAAGTTGTTAAGACTGAAATTCCAAGCTTACAACGAACATTTGTCGTCTGCAGAGTACACACGTGAATGGAAAAAGACAGCAATGTGCTGTTGGTCAAAATGATTTTTAAAAAATGTTTTACAGTCAACAATGTCACAGTGCCTTATTTGCTACTTGGCACTGAATATTCAAGTACTCAGTATTTCAAGAGCGATGCTGTTCCTATGTCCTCTAATGATACTTGACATGTTTGATTGACTACATAATTGGTTTTGGATTGAGATATTGGAACGAAATTGCATCTGATGAGATAGAAAAGTTTAAATTTCACATAATTACTAAAATTCAGTAGATATGAAAATCGATACGACTTACAGGTTTCTGCTTCGGTCCTAAACTGTCCGCCAATCACAATCTCTCCACTTCGTGAGTAATATTCTTGAGACACTGTAGCGGTACAGCCTAGGGACATTACACCAAGCTTCAGATGATTAAAAGTTACAATGAATTTAAGGCCTAGCATAGTGCTCTGTAATCCTTCTTGGTGGCGCTGATATCGATATGGCATAAGAGAAGTTGGATCAACCTGTTAAATAAATGTTAGAAAATATCGAGTGATATTAAAATATTTAACCATTATCAACGATGAAAATCAATGGATAATTGATTATTTCAGTAAACAAAAGTGACGAAGCCATTACGAGCAGTGAAACAACAACTCTAAATTATAATTATGTACTGTGATGATTTTAAAACCTCGCCCAAATTCCATTCTTCCCATAAATCTAAGCGAAACCGTTCTTTGTAACGCATGCCAAAAAAAAGCATTGATTTATTTGGAATAACAGTGAGAATATATGAAACAACCCTGAAAAGTAAGTAAAAAAGTAGATGAAAGTAAATAAAAAAGTAAGTGTGTAAGGACGAACCATAAGACTGTAACATCAGATAACAAAATGGGACTGACTTTAGGGTTCATCAAGGTAAACGAAAATTTCTTATATTTAATATACATAAAAAAGTAAAAACAAATGTAACTTTGAATACAATCCTAGAATCACTTGCTGTGAGAAAAACTGTACGTTGAGACCTTCAATAGCAAAAAACACAATAACTGCACGTGATAGTGGTTAGGGTGAATATTGCATCTAACACTGGTTCGGATGAATATTAAAAATAACTAGAGAAAATTTATTTCAAAATAACAAACAGAAATAGAGTTTAAAAATAAGTAACGTTTATTAAATAGAACATTTCAAATCGTGATGTTTGTTTGTGTGGTAAGTACAAAGCTATATAATAGGCTATCTGTGCTGTGCCCACCACGAGTATCGAAACCCAATTTTTAGCGGTATAAGTTTTCAGACGTACTGCTGAGCCACGGGGGTGGGGAGCTCCAGAGGTGATATAAACATGTTTATATACACAACAGTGCTTGTAAGTATATATATACATATATAATGTTTGTAGTAAAAGATCATATGATATTTGTAGTAAAAGATCATATGATATTTGTAGTAAAAGATCATATGATATTTGTAGTAAAAGATCATATGATATTTGTAGTAAAAGATCATATTGTTACGTCTCCGTTCGTTAGTTAATTTTCCGTAAATTCGTTCCGACGAAACTTTAGCGACACAAGTCCTTTCTTAAATAAAACTGGTTTATTCTTTCCGAATACAACTTTACGATACACTTAATTTCAACAGTCGCTCTTTAACAAACGCTATAATTCTCAACGAACTTCTCACGTGCTCAACAATATTCTCTCTGACTGCAGTTCAATTACTCATTGTTCCGTCACGTTGTGACCATTTTATATATACCAGACTACCCCCAATCTAGTAGTCTCCCGATAATTCACGAAGGTTCGAGAAGGACGTGGCGTGATACTAGTCACGTGACCTCGCTGACGCAACAATATGATATTTGTAGTAAAAGATCAATACGTTTATTTGTCACTAAATATTGAATGTTGTCTTAGCAGTTTGCATCGTATCCTAACTTATACTATGGCTATCTGCCGTTACCCCTAAATTTAAAATACTGGCCAGAGAGGAAGCGGCCAGTCAGTTGTACCACACCACCCACTATTCCATGCTAAGGGATTGACTGTGACTATTATAAGGCAACCACAGTTTAACATGCAAGGACTTTTTGTGATATCACAAAGGTACGAACCCTGGTCGTCAGCTTCGAAATCCAGAGCTCTATCATAATGTCACCTCCTAGTCCTCATAACTTAACCAGCACAGTCATGTAAATTTGATTTTTTAATAGTATTACATACGGTAAACAGGTAAGAGAAAACGACACCAGATCCAAAACATGCATACCTTAATAAAGAAATTGTTTGTTTGTTTTTGAATTTCGCGCAAAGCTACACGAGAGCTATCTGCGCTAGCCGTCCCTAATTTAGCAGTG